GGAGATGAGGCTGCTGTCCTAATCAGCATGTACACAACTTTGACCCAGCTTCCCAGGAGGAGGTGTGTGTCACTTTGTGAGCTGCAGACACACCCCTGCACACTCACACACAGCTCTACTGTGCACTCCTGCGGATGGCTTATATTCCAGGCTGTTGGACTTGGTTCTCGTCTGCTCCATCCTGTTCCATTAAAACACCACTGGTTGGGATCCAGTGTATCGATGTCATGGCCCATGAATGCATCATGGCCCACAGGTGAAACATTTGAAAAGAGTGTTCAGAACGCAGTGCTCTCACCCAGGCCTGGCCACCCCGGGGAAGGGTCCATGTGTCGAGGCAGGCGGCGGTGCTGCCAGGCAGGTCGGTGGGCCCACAGAGGCCTGCGTCCATACCCTTCCAGAGGGCTTCCCTTCAGATGATAGATGTAATTTAGTTGCTGTCTTTCTTAAAAACCGTTTTTCACTAATCATTTCTCCCCAGCATATAGGCTGTTTGTTTTTCTCTTGTGTATTGATTTCTTTAATTGCTAACAGGAGTCATCATTCCCCAGTGCTCTTAAATTGAAAAACAAATAGACTTGGCCTATCTATATCTGCTAACTCATTTTCCCACTCAGTTTTTTGCATGAGTTTTCTCTGGAGGTGTGGGCATGTGAATATATATACTTATGTATAGATGTATGGGTATACACATATATGTGCACATATGCATACATGCACATACACGTGTGTATACACATAGATACACACGTGTACACACATACATGTGTATATACAGGCATAGACACACACATGCATACACACAGGTGCATATTACACATATACACATGCATATGAATACGTAATGCACATGCATGTTTATGTATACAAATATATAATATACATGTCCATATGCATGCGTATCAATATAATACAAATGTATGCACGTATAGGGCTATATAATACTTGCCCCTCCCCTTTCCTCCCCTCTCCTCCCCTCCTTCCACTCTTTAGAGACAGAGTCTTGTTCTGTCATGCATACTAGAATACAGTGGCACAATCATAGCTCACTGTAATCTTGACCTCCTAGGCTCAAGTGATCTTCCCACTTCAGCCTCCTGAGTAGCTGGGACTACAAGGGCGCACCACCACACCTGGCTAATTTTTTGTAGAGATGGGATCTTACTCTGTTGCCCAGGCAGCTGGTCTCAAATGCCTAGATTTAATGGATCCTCCTGCCTCTGCCTCCCAGAGTGTTGGGTTTACAGGCATGAACCAATATGCCTGGCCAGGAGCCATTTCTATGACCCAAAGCCTGAGAAAGTGTCTTTGGTTAATGAATATTGGGAGAGGGCCACTGAACTGACCAAGCTTGGAATTAAACATCAACTTGACATTCGTGATGGGAAGACCTAGGCAAGAGAAGACATCTAGCAGCTAGAGAATTGTGAGCCCCTGATGGCCACTTCCTGATTATTATATTTTTTCTTAGAGATGGGTCTTGCTCTGTCGCCCAGGCTGTAGTGTAGTGGCGTGATCACGGTTCACTGAAGCCTCAAATTCCTGGGCTCAAGTGATCCTCCAGTCTCAGCTTCCCGAGTATCTGGGACTACAGATGTGCGCCACAGTGTCCAGCTAATGTTCTTCAATTTTTTAGAGACATGGTCTCAAAACATTGGCTAGATTGGTCTTGAACTCTTGGGCTCAAGCAATCCTCTCACCTCAGCCTCTCAAAGTGCTGGGATTACAGGCGTGAGCCACCATGCACCACTAAATGGACTATGATTTTATTCTAACTTGCTGCATCTGTTTGCTGGAGGTCCCTCCCACTGCCACTGTTGGGTGGAAAATCAATCAGATTTGATGACTGGACAACATTGTACCAGCTTTGTTCTCGTTTGTCCATCAAAAAGAGAGTCCTTAGGCCAGGTGTGGAGGCTCATGCTTGTCATCCCAGCACTTTGGGAGGCCAAGACAGGAGGATCACTTGAGCCCAGAAGTTTGAGACCAGTCTGGGCAAATATTGAGACTTCATCTCTACAAAAAAATTTTAAAAATTAGCTGGGCATGGTAGTGCATACCTGTGGTCCCAGCTACTCGGGATGCTTGAGGCAGGAGGATCACCTGAGCCCAGGTGGTCAAGGCTGTGATGAGTTGTGCACTCCAGCCTGGGTGACAGAGTAAGACACCGACTCAAAAAAAAAAAAAAAGGAACGTCCTCACGACACTGTCTGCTGTGTATTGATTACCCGTGGCTCCAGCTGCTTTTCTAGGTGTTTTATATCACGCCATCTCTGGGCCTCACACCTGGCGCTAAGCGGGTCTCTGACCAGTGAGGAAGCCAAGACGCTTCTGACACCATGATTCGTGCAGGGCCACTTGAGAGATGTGGCCTGGCTGCAGATCACCCACTCTCACTCTCCTCATCTGCCTCCCTACACTGAGATCGGCTTCTTTGTGAACGTCCTGCACCGTCTTGGGCTTTATTCCATTTCATCTTTAAGATGAAATGCCAGCATGTCTAAGTATGAGACACATTGAAATTAATGTCTAGTCTGTAAAACGCTATCAGAAATTCCAGGCCTTTCTTATTGTAAAATACAGAACTGATCCAAGTAAGAGCCCTCCCTCCCTCCATCCCTTCCTTCATTTTCCCTTCCCTCTCCTCCCCTTTTAGAGACAGAGTCTCTAAATGGTTAAGAAATAAGATACTCAGGTCTGGATTGGGAGAAACCACATTCTTGGCTTATTGTTATTACCCTGTGAGGGTCAGTTGTCTGCCCTTTCATTGCCACAGGTTTTTTGGGTGTGAGATTAAATGGTCCCATCCTGAAAGCCACCTTGATGAAAACAAAAGACAGCTGGGGCTGGTGTGGTGGCTCATACCTGTAATCCCAGCACTTTGGAAGGCCGAAGCAGAAGGATTGCTTGAGTCCAGGAGTTCAAAACAAGCCTGGGCAACATAGCAAGACTTCTCTATAAAAAAAGCAAAATTTACAGGGTGTGGTGGTGCATGCCTGTAATCCCAGCTACTGGGGAGGCTAAGGGAGAAGGACTGCCTGAACCCCGGAGGTGGAGGCTGTAGTGAGCCTTGATCATGCCACTGCACTCCAGTGAGCCCTAGCAAAAAACAAAAACAAAACAAACAAACAGCCACTGGGTTCCCAGAACTGAGATAATCTCACTGCAGAAATGTTTGGGTCCCATATCAGCATGGCCCCCAGTGGACTGTATGTTGCTGGGTTGGGGCCTTGAATGCCAGAGATCAGAAAGGCAGGTCTCACTGGCCCAGGCTCCTTGGGGAGACAGACCCCCGCTGTTAAGGGATTGTTTGGTTCGTTTTGTTTCATCCAAATTTGGGACTTCCTGCTCTCCTTCCCCCCTCCCCCACGACTCTCCTCAGCTGTTGGTTTACTTCTGAGAAGGGCACCCACAGCCTTTTCCAGGGCAAGGATTGGGGTTCTGGGGCCACCTGCCTCACTGGGAAAGTCTCCTGGGTCCCCCAGTTATTCTGAGTTTGCAAATGTGTATGTGAATGGAAAGATCACAGAAGAATGCTGAATCTTCCAGAGTTGTATCTCTCAGGTCTTTCAACACTGGTTAATGAGCCCGGGGAACTTTAATGTCTGGCGAGGATGGGTCAACCTGCCTTGGTCGTGCGTCTGGGGTCAGGGCTGTGCCTGTTGGTGGATGACTGCGGTAGCCAGTGGCTCTGGCCCCTGACAGTGACTTTGGGCAAGTCCTCTGTCCTCAGTGTACCAGAAGGAGTTAATTCCAGCCACACTGCTTGCTGCTGGGGTCTGTAGTCAGGTCTTTAATGGATTCTGTAAATAAAGGTTTGTAAGGAAGCAACTTGGTGAACTCATGGCTCGAATTCCAATTTTTAGTACTTCTTTATAGACACTGAGAGTGACTTGTTTTTAGTACTCCTTCTACAGGGTTTCTTAGATTGCCTCCCCCTCCCGTGTTAGTTAAACAGTTCTTGTTTGCTTTCTAAGTCTCGGAGGGCATCAATCTGCCCGTGGTACAATAGCCCTGGAAATAAGGAAGTCTCTGCTGAAAGCACACGAGGTGGGCACGGGTTGCTGTCATTTAACTGCTTTTCTCTCCAAATCGGTAAATATTTACACATGACCTTGTCAAGCAGTTTGGGACCACTCGGTCTCTCGAGAGCGTGCGACCAGGGCAGTGACTGCCCATGGGCCTGCTGCCATCCCCAGTGGCCACAGAGGCTGAACTTCCCAGTTAAAGACCCTGCTGGTCACAGACCCAGTACCCTCAAGGGAGTGGGAGCCCAGGCCAGGCTCCCTCTCTGCAGCAGGGTTTGAGAACATTTGCATTTTCAAGTTTGACTTCTAAGGATCTGACTTCTGAGGGTTGGGCAAATTGCTGGGAGCAGAGGACTCCAGAAAGTGAATTGTGGATTCTGGCTTAGGTTCACCACAGCTTCTGTTTCTTGTGGAATGTCATGACAGAATTTCATTCTAAGCACAAATGATGTTTTTTGTAAGTTGGGGGGAAAAAGTGGCTTACTTGCCCATTTTTGTAAAAATGGGACCAAGGTAATACGGTATTAAAACCCAACGCTCTAGTGTTTAGGGCAGATATAGAGTTTTGAGGTTTGAGGGTGTCTCAGCCTTCTGTTTTCTGGTTCCAGCATTTGAAATCTGACAAGCTAAAGCTCATTTTTAGAAGAGAGTACATATGTTCTTCAAGGCTGACACTGAAAAGCAAGAGAAGATCCTCATTTAGGGGGTAGTTTGGATATGAAAATTATAATATTATTGTATCAGCATAATCTGTTAATAACATGTTCATTTTGTCTGTCAAAATATAAGGAAGACTTAAGTATATTTAACAGTGTTCTGTTGTGAGAGTGCACTATTGAAGACTGCCAGGCAGTCAACAAACACATGAGAAGCTTTTAAAAATAAGTAGCTGTGACAATAGCAATACACTGACTTATTGCAAAGTACCTAAGAATTCTGTATTCATGCTTTTGTTTTTCAATTTCTTTGCAGAGTATTGGGAAAGGGTCATTGTGGTGCATAGACCCCGAGTATAGACAAAATCTAATTCAGGCTTTGAAAAAGACACCGTATCAACCACACCCGCACGTGTTCAAAACACCGCCCACCTCTCCTCAGGCATATCAAAGGTAAGCCCCAGACTTTTTGGGTTTTTTGGTCAGTAAAATTGCATGATCTTGGCAGAGACAGAGGCTGACCTGAACGTAACAGGCCGTGTGAGATTTTAAAAATAACCTCAGGTAAATGAGGCAGAAGTAAGTATTCTGAGAGACACAGCCGTGACTGTGTTTCCTGTAAACCTTACCGCTTGCACTGCTTCCAGAAGGCCTCACATGGGGTGAAGTAAGGTCTTCCTGGGTAGAAACGTTCTCAGAGAACAGTTGCCCACCCTCGCGTCTCGGGCATCCTGTTCCATTGGGATGAAGGTGCATATCCAAACTACCGGCAAGCAGATGTCGTCCTCCCCTGAGCTCCTGTCGCTCCAGATGTTCATGGACCCTGCTGGGTTGTGGTTTCGGTCTCCATGTGGACAGTGCCCTTGGTGACGATTGTGTTGTGGTTACTTGGTGTTTGCTTTTTCAAGGAGAACAGCAGAGAACCTTGGAGACATTTTTTTCTCCCTCACATACCCACTTGTTAGAAACAGTAAGGTCATGAGGACCACTTTTATAAATATACCATTGGAGGTGGGGGGTAGGGAGTAGCATGTCACTTTTTAAAAAAGGTGTGTTAATATTGGATTCCAGAAAAGAGTGATATCGTACAGAAGCAGATTTGAAAATAGATCCTATCAATATATAGTGCTTGAGTCTGAAACCCATTCCTCAACCCTGCAGTTTTTCTTTTTAGATGCGTAGGAACATTTCTACCATAACATCCCCGTTAAGACACGTTATCCTTGGACCACAGACTGATGGTGGTGAGGAGCGGCATGACATCATAGATTCTGGGAGTCTAGGGTCTGCTTCTTGGCAGATTCTTTCCCTAGTCTGCTGTCTGTTGTGGAGGGGGGAACACAAAGCGATTCTCGGATGGGGAATTAATGAAGTTTGTGGGCAGCCCCATTGAAAGCATTCCATCACAGGCCCAGACAATCAGTCTTCAGCAAGACAGAGAGGAACAGCTGGGCCCTCCGAGAAGACTGCTGTATGTCTGCCTTTGCTAGGCGATTAGCGTGATGGTCACCATAGCAACCAGAGCGTCTCCATGGCAACGCGTAGCCCAGACAGGTGCAGTTGCATCCCAAGGCTGTTTGTTGCCAGGCAAAAGGACAGGCCATTAGTACTTAGATGTACGCTGTTGCCTTAGCAACAAATAGCCCTACATAGCAACTACAGTTGGTTTGGAAGGTTTTTTTTGGGAAGGGGGGAAGGTTGTAGCAGCTTTTGTCTGTGTTCATAAAAATCAGTGGAAGCGTACTTTATTCAGAATGACAACTTGAGGTCACGTAGCTGTAGGAGATGAAATGGGATTTTTCAGAGCAGACCGACTGACGCCATAGAAATGTCCAGAAGGACAGGGCCATATGCTAGGTCTTCTTCCACGGCTGCAGCCATGCCCCTCAGTGCAAGGGAATGAGGATGGAGCGGGGACTGGCGGATGTGCAGGGCTGGTGGGGAGTCTGTGACACTGGTGACTGACAGATGTACTCTGCTCCTTTGCATTCCTCTCTCCCTGCCCTCTGAGTGCATGTAGACCCCTCGTCCCTGCTCCCCTCGGGTCCCTGTCCCTCTGCTTCTAGGAAGTTAAGAGCATGTGCCTTCTTCCTGGGTCATATTCTTGGTGCCTTTAGACCCATGTTTGATTGCCAAATGTGAGCCCGAGGGAAACCCAGTCATTATTTAATCACTTGAAGGATGATAGCGGCACTTGGCAGGTGTGACTGGCCACACATCTGGCCAGAACCCCCTGGGCTGGCCTCAGCTTAACAACTTCATTGGATTTTTTAATATAGGCATAAAAACACAGATGGGCCAGAGCTTCTGTGATGATAATAATGATAATAATGTCCTGTCCCCTTAAGCCGTTTCTCCTGGTGGACAGAGGGAACAAAAAAGTTTCTGCCCATGCCTATGTGGCGTTAGATGTCACTTCCACAAAGGTCACTGCCTGTGGGGAGGTGACAGGTGAGAGTCTGACTTGCCTCTTCACAGGCCTTCACCCTGTGAGGACAAGTCACTTTCTCGTTCCTGAGGACTACCTCCCTTCACCTGAAAGCTTCAGGGTCCTCCAGTATGTGAGACTGCTGAAGCCACTAAACACTAGGTGACTGTCTAGTATTCCAGAGCTCACAGTGATGCAGTATTTGGCTCAATTCTAAGCCATTGGGCCACTTGATTTATTGTTTTTGCATACGGGTCTCACTCTGTCACCCAGGCTGGAGTGCAGTGGCGTGATCATGGCTCATGGTAGCTTCGACCTCCCAGGTTCAGGTGATCCTCCCACCTCAGCCTTCCAAGTAGCTGGGACTACAGGCATGTGCCACCGTGCCTGGTTAATTTTTTATTTTTCAGATCAGAAGGTAGTTTATTGAGAAAGTAAATTACAGAAAGATAAAGAGATTCACCTCCTCAAGGTAGGGGAGAGGCCCAAAGCCAGGAAACATGGCCTGGCCATAGCTCAAAGAGCACATGGCTACGCCACAGCTTAGCAAGGCAATGACCTAATTTTTTTATTATTATTATTATTATTTTGTAGAGAAGAGATCTTGCTGTGTTGTTCAGGCTGGTCTTGGACTCCTAGGCTCAAGCAATCCTCCAGCTTCGGCCTCTCAGAGTGCTGCGATGACAGGTGCTAGCCACTGCGTCCAGTCTACACCTGCTTTCTTTTTTAATTGAATTTGTGAGTTGTTTTTAATTGAAATGCAGGCCTTGGAGATAGGAGCCCTTTGGTTTGTACACTGGGGCAGCCGTAACAAAGTGCCTCAACTGAGGGACTTAAACAGCAGAAATGGATGATCTCCCCATTCTGGAGGCTGGAAGTCCAAGGTCAGGGTGTTGGCAGGGCCGGTGCCCTCTGAGGGCTGTGAGGGAGTGTCTGTACCACCCTGGCTTTTCTGACGTTTTGCTGGATTTCTTGGTGTTCCTTGGCATGTGGACTCATTGCCCTGACCCCTGTCTCAGTGGTCTTCCTGTGTGCTGTGTCCATATCCTTTTATGAGATCACATGAGTCACACTGGTTTAGGGGCCACCCTTCTCCAGTTTGTCCTCCTCTTAACTGACTACGTCTCCAATGACCCTGTTCCAAAAAACATTCACATTCTGAGGCTGGGGGTGCTGGGACTTCAACATCTGAGTTTGGAGAGACACAGTTTACCCCCTAGCTGCCCCATTCTCAAGAGAGGCATTTCGCGGACAATAATATGGAGAAGCAGGCAACCCCCTCAGGTCCCCTGCCACTTTGGGAGCTTTTCTGTCCTCTCAATAAATCCTGCCTTCAAAAAAAAAATGTGGAAAAGCAAGAAGCAATGGAATATTTTATTTATTTATTTATTTATTTATTTTTGAATCACACTCTATTGCCCAGGCTAGAGTGCAGTGGCTCGCTCATGGCCACCCCAGTGTCAACCTGCTGGGCTCATGTAATCCTTCTGCCTCAGCCTTCCAAGTAGCCGGAACTACAGGTGCATGCTACCACGCTCAGCTAATTTTTTTTTTTTTTTTGTAGAGATGAGGTCTTGCCAAGTTGCCCAGGCTGTTCTCGAGCCCTATGGGCTCAGGCAATCCCCTCACCTCGGCCTCCCAAAGTGCTGGGATTACAGTCTTGAGCCACTGTGCCCAGCCAACAATGGAATATTTTAAAAGCACAACGATAGGGGTGTGTTAAAGGGACAGAGACTGAATCTGAAATTATATCCCATAGCCAAAGCTGGGACAGTTTGAGCCACAAAATAAAAACAAACAAGCAAACAAACAAACGTAGTAATGGATTATATAATGTTGTTACTTTTTGAAGTTGAATTAGGGTAGCAGTGTGTAATATGATGTTTGCTCAAAAGATGGCATTCATCAAATGAATGCTAGTGTCACTGTGCAACAGGCATGACAGTCAAAGAAAATGGCGGAAGCACAGTTGAGTAAACGTCATACCACACATGGCAGCTGTAATTCTATTCAACTTCGAAAAGTAATATAGATAACAGCTCTTAAAATGTGTATACATTTTTTGGCACCCCCTGTATAAAATGAATACCCATGAGTTCATACTGATGTAAATCAGTGATTGAATAAATAAACAAAATTAGAGAAGAGACAGATTGAGAACCCAAGTAATTGCTGTATACATTTTCCACTCGAGGAGGTGGTGCCTTGCTCTCTGTTCCCTCAGTGGCAGCACCTCCAATGAGTAGAGTTTGACAAGGCACCGTGGCTTACACTTGAATTCCCAGCACTTTGGGAGGCGAGGGGATTGCTTGAGCCCAGGAGGTCGGTACCAGCCTGAGCAACATAGCAAGGCCTTGTCTCTACAAAAAAAAAAAGAAAGTTTATCGTGGAGACCCCCCAGGTGATGGAGGCCAGTACCGTCAGCACCGTGAAGTTGGTCACAGATGCCTTTCATGGGAAGTCATGAACTTGGCTGTCCCTTGGTCTTCCTCTTGAAACCCGCAACCCTAGTTCAGTCATGGGAAAAGCACTGGACAGTGGGCCTGTCTTCCAGGGGGGGCATTCCACAAAATAACAGATCAGCACCCTGCAAAGCCATCAAGGTTGTTGGAAACAGACATGTCGGAGAATCTGTCAGAGGCCAAAGGAGGCTGAGGAGACATGATGACTAACATGTTGATATCCGGGGTGGGCCCCAGGAGCCGGCAAGGGACATTAGGGGAGAGCTGTGAAGTAGGAGTAAGCCACACAGTTCAGTTAGTCGTAATGTGCTGGCATTGAGACCCAGTTAGGGGCTGTGGGAACTGTTCTGTGCTGTCCTTATAACTTTTCTGTTTTATTTTTTAAAGGAGTCTTCAAAACACAGACTCATTGAGTTAATTGATTTTATATTTTTCAGTATTTTAAGTTGTCTCACTGTGTCATCCAGGCTGAAGTGAAGGGCACGGTCACATCTCACCACAGCCTCAACCTCCTGGGCTCAGGTGATTCTTCTGCCTCAGTCTCCCGAGTAGCTGGAACTACA